CCTGATACGAAACGGGTGTATGTTTTACATGGGAAGTCTAACAGGCTTGTAATTCGGGGGACAAAACAGTGGCTCTTCTAGAAAATGGACTGACTACTTGCGTGTGCAACCACAGGAAACCAGGCCCAGAGCCTCCGCAAAGTTAGAAAGCACCAACAGCCCGACCAGCAGTCAGAGCTGCCGCTCTCTCAGCCCTGCTCCCGGTGCCTAGTCTGTCCTGCTCCTGGCTGAGTGTACAAAGAAAGAAGCCTCGATAAACAGCGCAAATCTAGGTCCCTGTCAGACCAGCCATTTATGAAACTGGACAAGCATCTGCCAGAAAGAAACAAACCTCACTCACCAGATGCCAGCCTTCGGTGGGTGTGTCCCAGACCTGCTCTCACCATCGCGGGGGCCGTAGGCATTCCCAAATGGACATATATTAAAACTGAACTTTCCTGAGGCAATATGAAGTTCATAAAAACGTTTTATTTTCTTAAGTGCCTACTTTAAACTTGTGTTCCATGAGTCACTGTGCTAGGCAGGGGTTTATTTTTTATTGTTTCTTCCTCTCCGAATCAGGGAGACCTCATTCAACCAGACAACTGAGCAGGAAGTTTCTGGTTTTCTAATGTTCTCATCCTTCAAACCTTCCCCAGCCCCATCTCAAGTGGAAACAGGCCCTAAGGAATGTCCTAATGGTTACCTTTTCAAACTGCCCTTTTCTTCCAGGTACACTTCAAACTCAATAATTAGTTTCCTTTAAAAAAAAAAAATTTTTTTTTTTTAATTGGGAATTGGGGAAACAGCCAAGTTGTTGTCCTTCAATCTTAGTTGTGGAGGGCACAGCTAGCTTAGCTCCAAGTCCAGTCACCATCTGGCCACCCGTTGGCAGCTCGCAGCCACTTAGCTCAAGGTGCCATGTTCAATGTTACTTGCGGGTGAGCGTAGCCCACCATCCCATGCGGGAGTCGAATCGGAAACCTTGTTGTTAGGAGCACGTGCTCTCACCATCTGAGCCATCCTGCCACCTGTTGGTAGCTCAGTAGCAGCTCAGCTCGGGCACAGCTCACTGGCCCATGTGGGAATCGAACCAGCGGCCCTGTTACTCAGAGCTTGCGCTCCTAACCAACTGAGCCACTCTGCCAGCCCAATAATTAGTTTCTTGATTGAGTTCCCAGCAAGCTAATTTTACTCTATTTAGATGAAACCATAGCTACTGACCCCGACTTCTGGAACAAGTTCTTCCTCTCTTATGTGGACTACCATCCCTTTGTTACCTCTGTACGAAAGACCTTAGTTTTTAAAAAGAATCGCTTCACGATTTCCTCACATCTGTAATTCCATTTTCCCACTAATTCAATCTGGCTTTGCCACTAGTTAGGATTACTCCAATAGTGATTTTAAGTAACTGATAGCTAGCAAGATTCCAGATGGGTAGATGCGAGAAAAATACCTTGGGTGACTCTAAGGTCTGGTGTGCGTAAGCTCTGTGTTACCCTCACCTTCCTTAGGACTAAGAAGACGATGAAGATGATGACCTCGGCAGCAGTGATAACAGTAGCAGCTCATACTAGCAGAGCCCTCACTACCAACCAGTTTTAAGTACTTTACAATTAATCCAACCCCACAAGATGATAGCTATTACTTCCCGAATTGTCCAGATAAGGAACTAAAGCACAGAGATGCTAAGTAACCTGCCCAAGGTGAGAGGCGGTGCAGAACCAAGCCTGCACCTGCGCCCAGCCAGTCTGACCCCAGGCTGCACACTCCTAACCACTAACGCTACACGGCCTCTCAGCACAAACAAGAATTGAACCTGAAACTCAGTCACCAGAAAACAGGTCTGGTTAATGAAGCAGGCTGAATTATATAGGTAAATGAACCCCAGAATTACAGCCCTTTTCTTATCTGGTAACTTGTAGAGGTTCTAAAACACTGCAAAAAACCGTCACTTGAATGTCATGGAGAAGTTTGAAATCGGCAATACTGACCAAGAGTCCTTTGTTTAGCCAACGACGCTCAGCTAATGTAGCTGCATAAGAACAATTCTAATTACGGCACATGCTGCTAAAGGGAGATTCCAGAGAAAATCACCTTGTTTTCTTCTACGTTCCTTTTCAGCTTTTCTTCCAGGTCCCTGGTCTCTTCTGAGCCGTTCAGTTTTCTCTGCTCATGATGGTCCCAGGCTTCCTTAAGCTGCTCTTGCAAAACCTGGTACTCCTTTTCAATCTGTGAAATATCCCCCTGAAAGTAAATTATAAAATTATCTATTAAAGTAGTTAAAAACACCTACTTCTGATCTTGTTTTGAACTGTCTCTTGAAATAAACGAAGGAGAATAAAATGCAGATGAAAATTTTCAAGGGAAATCTCACAAGAACTCAAGGATTAAAATCCCCAAACACTGTTTAGCAAAGCCAGCTCTTTTTAAAACAAATTTATTCGTATTACTGGAATTCATAATGAAACTTTTCAATCTGTGCTATAATTAGTACTGAATATTTGTTTTAGAAGGGCTCATTCAGTATTAAATCAACAGTTTGATGTGAAAGTCATTCTCCACAATTAACATCAAGAACTATTTTTTTAGGTTTAAAAAGCTGTACATATTACACTGATTTTTGATATAAAAAGAATGGATTAACTTTGGCCCTACTTTTAAGTGTTTTAAAAGGATAGTTGCTGATTATTTCAAAAAGACAAGTTAAAATATTGTCAATGAATATAACCATCTCTTGGACCAGCTTAAAAAAAAACAAAACAAGATAGAAGCCATACTGTTAATGTGACATATTGGTGAACAAGAAACATCATTCGTGTCAGTATTTTTAAAAGCCTTTCATACTGCGAAGGCTGTCAGCAATCACTCATCTGTTTGAAGGGAGCACCTGTGTGGTCTGCCAAGTCCTCCCAGCTGCAGCTGACCACTGCACCTACGTACGAGGGGCTGGCAGCCAAGTTCTGGAAATCTACCTGGGTGACACAAAGCTGGTCCATCTTCCCACCTCCCGCACCTCTCCCAGCTGGAGGCCTGTGAACCATGGCCAGGGTGACCATACTTCCCAGTCGGCCTCGGAGGGTCCCGGTTTCTGTCTATTCAGACTGAACGTTTAGTGCTTTGAAGAGAGTCCCGTGTTTAAGTAATAAATGGTCAACCTTACTATGACCCATGAGCAAGACTTTATAGTTTAAGACTCTATTTTCACTCTGTTCAACAAAAGGTTCACGATGAACAGCAACTTGATATTATGAACTAACTTATATGCCCCAAGTCACAAACAGAGATAGGCAGGAAGTTATATGCCATTTCTATTCTATTACATTTAAACGTTGTCATAGTTCTGTAAGAAATATATTATTTTCACCTTTTATAGATCAGAAAACCAAAGCTTAGAAAAACCAGGCAACTTCTCAAGGTCCCAGGAGAAAGCAGCAGCACTGGGACTCACTGCAAGGCTCCCTGGACAAGAAGCCAGGCATCAGCCAAGCTAACAGGTCCTGAGGCCCAGGGCTAATTTAACAGTTAATGAACTTTCCCAGCACCAATGAAAATACTTGAGGGTCAAAATCACTGACTCATTAACAACAGAGCATACCTGATTTACAGGTAAGTATAGTATAAGAACTCAACACCAGTCATTCTACTTGATGTACATCCTCTTATCGGCAAAAATGCTCACTACAGCACTGTTTGTATGTGGGAGAAGCTAACACACTCTAAATGTTCAATGGTAAGTCAAACGAGTGATCATACAGTCATACAATGAAATAGCAAGGATGCATTAAAAATAATGGTAAAAATCTATATTTGCTGACATGGAAAAAAGTCCATAATACATGAAGATTGAAAATTTCAAATACAACATATATGGTATGACCCCCTCCTTTAAAAAGCATTGCTTACTTAAATGTAAAATTTTTTTTTTNATAATTACAGTATAGTGCAGTGAGGCGCTTATTATTAAGGGCTTTAACCAAGCCTGAGGATGCCATCAGAGACTGCTTCCTCAAGAGTGATGCCTGAGCTGGACCTAAAGGACGAGCAGGAGTGAGCCAGGCCTGGGAAGGAAGAGGCCACTTGAGGCACAAGGGTCAGTGCTGGGAAAAGGTGCACAAGTGAGAAATCACATGACAAATGTTACCCCTTAAGAGCAGAGGGCAATGCAGAGAAGGCTGGAGATGGAGGCAGGCAGCAGCTGTGGAGGGTTTTAAGCTTTTGGTAGTTACTGAGCATTAGTGAGCTACTGGTGCTAACCTACTGAGGCAGAGAGAGCGCTCGGAGCCTCATCCTTGCCCCCACCCCCCTCCGTATCTATACCCTTTTCACGGGACCTTGCAGTTCCCTTCACTAATGGGCGGTCTCTCCCCTCCCCTTGAATCTGGGCTACGTGACTTGCTTTGCCTAATAGGCTAGTAGCAGATTTGATGTCAGCAGAGGCTTGAAAAGAGCTGGTGAGACTGTCCTCGCTTGCCCTTGCACTTTCCCAGAGATAAAAGCCACTGGAGCAGAGCTAGCTGCCCCAGTCCTCCCAGCTGAGGCCGTTCTAGATCAATCCATGGCCAGGCTGATCCCAGGTATAGAAGCGGGTACACCCAAGAACAGCAGAGCAAAAAGTCCAACCGGATCGGCTAACCCACAGGCTCATACACGTCACATTTGTTATGCAGATGTCACTGAGGTTTTGTGGGTGGTTATTACAGCAGCAATTACCTGATAAACTTACACTGCTCCCCAAGTGCTGAAAAATGGTTTTCAACTGGTTGTAGAACTGATATTATTTTAAGGGATCTGGAGCCTGACACTAACTTCTGCCACTTAGTACTGGCGTGACTCTCCATTTCCTCATCAGTAAAAGGGAGATAATACTATATTGTACTATGCTGTACTGTACTATACTATACTATAAACACTAGCATGCCAGGATTGAGATAATACTGTACTATACTATACTATACTATACTATACTATACTATACCCACTAGCATGCCAGGATTGTTTTGAGATTAAATAAATACATGTAAAAAATGTACAGCTGAGCATGGCACGTAACACGAGCTCTGTAAGTGTTCAGTTAACAAAAGGCTGACCTTGGCAAGGACGGTGAGCCCGCCTCACACAGATAAAGACAGTTTGGCAGGCAAGGCCTAACATCGTGCTCTAATGCAGAAAAGGACAAAGTTAAACATTCTTCATAAATTGTTCAGGGCCAGTTAGTTATTCTAACCATGTTTTAAGAGCCAACAGCAGTTCAATACTCATCTTAGTTCTCAGAAAATTCTCATGAAAGCGCCTTGGGAACGTAAGTCCCAGGGGCGATGGTGAGTGACTGCTCACTGGGTACGGGCTCCTTCTGGGACATAAAAATGATTCTGTAGTTAGACCGTGGTGATGGTTACACAACATTGTGAATACGAAAACCACCGACCTGTATATTTTTTAACACGTAATTGGTTAAAATGGTGAATTTTATGTTATGTGACGTTTATCTTAATAAAACAAGAAAGAACATATGCCCTTGAGCAACACCACAACCAGCTGTCACCTGCCAGGTACAGGTTAGAGGCACCTTGAAAGCAACAGGACCTGGCTTCAGGATAGCTATTTGTCTCTGGCAGAGAATAGATAACTGGCCTAATTACCTACTAAGGCCATTCTCAGCTCAAGATAACAAGACAGTCAGCTATACACAATAGCCAGCTGGGATTTTTACTGATGCTTCGTATGTTCTAAGCGCTCTTCAAATGCTTTGAAAAGAACTGATTTTTCCTCAACAGTGCATGGCTGGCATTTCGGGTGGGAAAATTCTTCCTGTACGACACTTATTACCTCTGGCTTTCTCCATCGTTTTCCAACCAACCCCGAGTCCTCACAAACCTATGAAGTAGAGTGATATTGTTAATGAGGAAACTTGAGGGTGGAAGAGGATGAGTAGATTGGCTAAGGTCACGAAGCCAGTAGGCGGTGCTGGGTTCAAGCTGGGCAGCCTGATGTGCTGCCTGAGTGTTTAAACATCCTTTCTACTGCTCTGTTCTCTGAGGCGGG